TCCATTCACCAACAACGGTTAACGTGTCTTGAGTACTGTTATACTTAGCAACAAGCTTTAGGATAAAGTTAAACATACCAATACTCCTGAGCTGGTCATCTTTTCTTTATATCTAAAGTCGACCACTGCGAAGGCGACTAAGTATGTACTCATGTTGACGCTGGGCAGAAAATGTTCCTCCACAAGTCCATCCTTTCTGGTCACGAGCCGGGCCCGGGGCATGTTTGACAGGGCGTAGAGTTGAGGGTCGTGAATTATAGATATGTTAAAGGACGCTTTAAAAGAGGGCTCGTCGAAACAGGGAAATGCTTTCCTAGCGTGTGCAGGCTCAAAATGAGACACTGCTAGCATCCTGTGTGGAGGAACAAAAACGTAGGAGTGTTAAGAGGTATAAATGAACGTGTGTTGATGTGGCAAAATGTTCTGTTGCAGACAAGGAAAAGAAACTACGGCGACATAGAAGATAAGTGTAAGGCAAAATCTTTCTTCCCAAAAATGGCAAAAAGGTCGAGCCAACAAGTTAGCCGCAAGGAGAGCTGTTTGCCCACAATAACTGTTGAAGTTGGAGTTCCCACGCAGGTATCTCTTCTGGTGAATTGAACGCCACAATAGCTGTTAAGGTCCTTTTACTCAGTTTCTTGCAACAGAAAAATAATTGCATGAGGATGTAAAGGCGTCCGCTATTCAATAGAATTAACGCTTTCACACGTCTCAGAGGATTTAACTGCATAGCTTATCCATTTAAGAAATCAAAGAATTAAATCGTAATATTTTTCACATCCTCTGAAAATTTTTTAACATTGAAACAACCACACACCTTTTTTCTCCTGTTTCACTGCGGTACCAACTCTTGTAAAATCCTTCCAGTTTATCAGAAATCTTATTCTTGAACTGAATAGTAACGAAATACGACTCTCCCCTACAGAGATCTCCCTTGAGCTCTACGCAAAGCTGTTGGTATTCCTTGAAAGCAAGTATTCTGTTGATAGCTAAGTCGTGATTGTTTTCTGCTGTAACAGAAACGTTCAAAACTTCTAGGTCTCCACAGTGAAGGATAACATAACGAGTTGTTTTCTCGCAGAGAATTCTTGTCTTGACTACTCCCCTATACTTAAGCGTTGTCAAATTCACTCGCAAATCAAGTTTGTAACTAAGTGGTTTCAGATCCTTTGGAAGGCGTTGGTCTTTATGAGGGAACTTCTCAATGTTACTAACGGCATGAAACTCTACCTCCTCCCCCCTGGTGCGGTGTTTAGACAGCTCTTGCGCGTGCTCCGTGAAGTACGGTGAAAAATCGAACTGTGTAACGACGCCGACTAATGCCACGGCAAAGACCAGCGACAGGAGGAAAAATAGATACTTCAGAACTATTTTGCGTATTTTTTTTCCTTTCGTATCGACTCCCATCTCTTTCGATTCGAGATCATCGTCATCCGTTTCCATAACCGTTAATACATATTATCTGAAATGGAACGAAGCAAACTTTATTGATTTGAAACCTCGTTGTTACACGCGCAGGACGCTGGGAGATTGACATATGGTACCCAGACAACACCATAGAGGAGATTACAGGGGTTTCAATGGCTGCTGGTGCTCTAGTATGCGGTTGTGCCGGAAAAGGGGCCAGAAGGAGAAACCCAAACACGAGAGCCTGCTGTCAGGCTAGTCAGCGGTAGATCATTGATAACCCAAAAGCGTGGATGCCCGCGATCAAATTTAAACGATAGGGAAGTCGTGCAGCTGCGCACTTCTACGAGAACGTATGAAAGAAATGCGCCGATTACAGTGTCCCGCTAGATTGGCAGTCACGTTTACGCTTTGAAGCATAGAGTGACAACGCCGCGGAATGTACTCCTGATGGCCGTTTTCGCGGATCTGCCGCCTAAACATTCGTTGAGTGCTAAAAAACTGCCAGCTACACAGGCTGTAATCATAGTTTTTGCAAACAGTCAATCACAGCAGAGCGCTGTCCTTCATTAGGAAACGTGTAACAAAGCAACCTCATGGCCCCCCAAAAAATTTGTAGCACGAAACTGAAACGTCACGTGCCACATCGTTATCTTTAAGTGACATATTTTCCAACCGGGTCGAAAATAAACATTTCTAAAAGTTTTCCTGTTGAAATATCATTATTTTAGAGCTACTACCGTGGCAGAAAATTTATTTATTATCTTAGCTGGACGCAAAAATTGAGCAGTACCAGGAGCCCATTACAGTGATGGGTTCCTAGCAGTACGACATGATTTTATCGATTTTAACGCTAAAACGAGGCAGACGAGTTTGACTTGATTCTTGGAGCCAAAGAGTCTTTAAACCAATACTTTGTAAACTGTCAAAGTCTTTTTCGATGATATGATTGAGTAGTGTACATAAAGATTAACAAAAGACGCCTGAAGACTAATTTGTTGCCAATAAAGGGGGCAAGTTTCTAAAGAAACTGTGGTGCTGCGTCAGTAAGAGAATATAACATGGTAATTTGGTATTATCAACTGAGTCGATAACGTAAATTGGCCACCGTTAGGAGTTTAAAAGCTGACGTTTTGAGCGTTAGCCCTTCGTCAGAGCGATGTTGATAATACCAAATTACCTTAATTTACAGCCAGTGACTGGATGAGATCACTTTTGTCGGGTTTTATTTCTCTAACTTCCATAGCGTTAAAATTGATAAGAGATATATTAACAGCCTCAGTCGGTTCTGGTATTGTTTACGCCAATCAATGAACAATTTACAAATCATGTCAGCTAGACTTTAAAATTGAACAGAACGACAGAATTCTATCTATGGACAGACACAGACAAGTTTAACTTGTTTTTGCAGCCAGAGTGTATAATCAAACCAATACTGGGTAAACTGTGCACTTCTCATCCGCTTTGATGTTCGCTAGTGTTATACGAGTTGCACTGGGGTGTCAACCTGAATATTCTACCTGTAACACCTGTTACTCTAGCGAAGTCTTGCTGTTCAGAAGTGAAAATCTAGTATAACTCTCCAGGATATATCTATAGAAAAGTACTTTAAGATAAAAATCTGAAAGACAGGCTCAGGTCAATAGCGAAATTTATTCGAAAAATAATGTTGGCGTGTGTGAGTCTAATGCCGGGAATTAAAGGTATTGTATTGTTATAGATCGAGGTTGTTTAGAACCTTGGAACATTATCCCCTCTAATCATATTAAACTTTCATTTCTCTTACCTTTGACAGATTATCGTTCGTCGCACCTAACTTTACTCACGTCATCGTTCAAAAAGTATTCCTGTCACTTTTCTGATCAAAAGCCAGCTATTCTCGTATTTAACATAGCGAAGCGGTGAAATAGGCCTGCAGTCTTCCCTAAGCAACGGTGAATCAGCGGTAGTGCGAGGGAGGACAAGCGCTTCCATAACCTGTCGGTGTGAGAGATAGTAATCAAGAACAGACTCGAGAGGGTCTCGATGAGGTCAACCGTTAGCCGTAAAACGGCCCGCAAAAAAAATAGCCGTTAGGCGCACAAATTGTCATATTTTAACCCACAGTCGTAAAAAAAATTCAAACTTTATTTTACTCTTAATCACAAAGGAAGGGAGTGAACCATTAGCTGTTAAAGTCATCACCCCATTAAGAACCTCATTCAAGAACATAGTTATGTAAGAAATTGAGTCAGTTTAGCATAAAAATGGTCCCGAAGAAGACAGATACAACGCGTGAAGTGGTCTAGCGTAAAGTATATCTACGTCTGATGAGAATTTTAACCGGTGTAAGCCATTGAAATAAGAAAGATTTTGCAATTTTAATCTGATGACAAAACCGTAATGTAGGTTGCTTCTCATAGAAGATCGGGCTTTGTTTTGTCTCTTTGAGTAAACTCGTCCCTATAAAAAATAGTCTGTAAAAATTACAGGAAACTACCTTTATCACCCTCGGTGAAATGAGAAGAATTTCAAAGGGATGTACCCACCGTCCCATAATACCTTGCTCCTTCGAACCTGGCAAAGATTGGCTTCGGAAGCCATCTTGATAAGTAACCAAACACGTCGCAAATATTACTGGAACTGCGAAGTTAAATTACTCGCGAACGATTTGAATGTAGACAAATTATTAGCCGCAAGTTTTAGCGACTAGCCGAAAGCGTTACCTCTTAGCAACCTTAAAAATTCCTCTGAAAAACTTTTAAATGTATATTTAATTTATTGGGAAAGTCGAAACTCTACAGTAAATATAATAGAGCTAACGAGACTCCAAAGTTTTGTACTTTAAATTTTTTGGCAAGCAGCTAAGTGCACATTGCAGTTCCAGTAAAACAGTATTATTGCTGAAGCAATTGCCTACGGCTACCAGTCCTGTTGACCACATGACCTTCTGAATTCCAAGAAAAAGTGGTTAGGCCCTAAGGCTGGGAAACCAGCCTCGTGTTTTGACCCTCAAAACCTGACTGAGCCGCAACAAGAATCTATTGTCTTGAATAAACTCAAAAAGCAAAAGGGATGATGGATTTTAGATTTTTGGAAAACAGGGAATCTGAATGTTGGAACATGATCCCTAGTTACTTCTTTCCGGGAAATTTTGTGACTTCTACAGGGTAACCGGAGATTTGCTCTTATTCCGGGAGTTGTCAGGATCGACTGGAAATGAATAAGGCCTGTGTTCATTGTCTACATGCGTAAGATTAATTAGGCACATTAAATAAATCATTGATGCCTGGGCAACTGTGTTTTGAAACCATGCATTGAATGCATGCTCTGGCTTCAGTCGCCCGATTTCACTCCGATTGGTTTAGCTAAATTTTTTTCTTTGTAAATAAAGTAAATGTAATGAAAATAGCCCTACCTGAGAAGGGAAAATGCACCATAACGGCTCTCAGATAAGTCGTGAGTATCACAGCTCTGCGTTTTTGAAAGAACCGCCATGTTTACTAATGAGTGGCTGATCGCGAACAGTTTCCTGGGAAAGTGGACTGCAATCGCTAATTTCAGCGGTTATCGTTGTAAACTCAGCTGCTTATAATTTCCATTGAGTTGAATTATTTACTTATTTTGAGTTAGTAATGTTTTTCGTTGTGTGGAGTAGAATTCTACTGATCTAAAATGTGTCCTGTTCATGCAGTCATCCTTCTGTACATTTGTTCCTTCATTTCGTTGATTAATCAAGGGCAGTCGGCCGGCCCCTCGGAAATGAAAAACTCTGAAGCAAGTTTTAAATGGAACCCTCGTGGTTACGTATTTTACTGCCCTTGCATGGGTAAGTGGATCTTCAGATGTGGAAATTATTACGTCTATCCGCCTTGTATGTGCATATTCTCCATACCGTTTTTTGAAAATTTCCTATGATACTGACAAGGAGAATTTAACAGTCCAGAATTCTTGGTCTTAAGTTTGCGGTCATGCTGGGTCAATTTTCCATCATTTGCAGCCTGTGGCTTATCTCCACGTACTCGATAAACTTGCGCCTGCGATTGCATGCAAATTGTTTCTATAGGTAGCATGAGTCGAAATAGCCTTGTAAATAATCAGGTAAAGTTATGTCATGTTATCAAAAGAGTAAGAAAAATATGTGCACACCTTAATCATATGCAAATCAGAGTTAAAAAAAGCTAACAAAAAAATTGCAGAGTCAGCATGGTCTGCAGAGTCTGCACGGTCTGCACGATCTGCTCAGTCTGCATTATCTGCTTGGTCTGCATGGTCTCCAGTCTGCATTTTGACATGACACTAAGTTGGTGATCTTTCCTTCTGTTCTTGTGATTCATCAGTGATACTGTAAAGAGAAATTAGATGCTAGTCACTCTCAGGGGTTAAACAAGGGATAAAAGTCATTGATACAATGACACAATATAAATAGTATGTAAGAAGGTACAAATTATTTCTGTTAGATGTGGAGCTTAGATTTTCTTTTTCTACAGGAAGATTTGGAAACCAGGCCGAACATTTTCTGGGAGCATTAGCATTTGCAAAGGCTCTTGACAGGACATTAATTCTTCCACCTTGGAGAACATATGTATGTTAAGCATTTTTCTATTTTTTTCAGTACAGCATCATTTTCTTGTACATGAGGAGTAAACAACTCAAACTTAAGTTTAAACAGAGAAACTTTTCTTCCATGTTTGCCTTCAGTGATGTATTTTAATCAGCAACTTGAAACAGAATACAAATTGTGCATAATACATTAATTATGCTATGTAAAATTTACAGGCTTTTAGGATTGGGCTGGTGTAACATAAAAATTTTTCCCTGATGGGAGGACTCAGATATATCAGAGTCCTTTTGCTAATTGATATATAACTGTGTGAAGTAAAGGGCAATTATCACAGTGACCATAATTCTGGGGCTTGTGTGACAACAACTGTAGTGCTTTGTTTGATGCTGAATAGCCTGTAATGATTCCTTTAGCAGGAATCAAATGCAAGTATGTCAGGCCATCCATTTTAGCTAATTATTCACTGTAAAATGTTATGAGTGTTTCAAGTTTTTTTTTTAGAAAATGTTTGATAATTGTAGTTTTGACTTACCACCACTACAAACCTTTATCAGTTTTGATAAGGACCAAAAAGAGCCCATTGTTGTTTTTAACAATGCACCCACAGTTTTTATCCTAAACCAGAGTTATTTATATCTTTTCCATCTGCAGAAAAATGTACCTTTTTCTGACTTTTTCCAAGTGGAACCCCTTCAAACTTATCATAGGGTTATTTTAGCAGAGGATTTTATGAAGCACTTAGCTCCCACTCACTGGCCAAAAGGAACAAGGCGTGGCTACTGCTGGTTACCTCCTAGATCTGATAGGAAATGCATTATGAAGGTAAAAAGGGGTCAGTGGAGTAGAACTGTGACAGAACTGTCATGAAACTTAAATAACCAGTGCTGGGTTGTTCTCTGTGGCTGTGTATGATTTGTCTATTATTTCAATTTCCTAACCTTTAGACCCCCAAGGAATGACTAGCATCTAATTTCTCCTTACAATATCACCCTTGATCCATGTATTTAGGTCATGAGAATAAATGTAATATGACTAACTAAAGCAGCTAATGATTGTTTAAAAAACTATCCTTGTAACACCTAAGGAAATGCATTGAGAACATTATGAAGGCTATGCATACTGATGCTAGGATTGTTTTGTGTGCATGGTGTCAAGCCCAATCCAAACAAAAGTGTCTTTCTTACCAGGAGGGAAATCCATTCAAACCATTCTGGGATGAACTAGAAGTGGACTTTGATGAGAAAATTGTCTATCATCTTGGAATTCATTTACAAGATCCTTATGAGAGGGAACAATGGCAAACAAAGTAAGTTTTGTTGGAAGGGAATGGAAATTTTTCTCTATCAGTGAAATCTTGTTACCTTCTTTACCTTGCCTCTCTTTTTGTTTGAAACTGTTCATACTTGATGAACCTAAATTGAAACAGTCGTCTTCTTTTCATATTCCCTAATGGATACTTCAGCCTTGCTGAAACTAAATTATTGAAAATAGGTTGCAACTTATGATCTTGGAAAACGACCTGAATTTTCCACACGAAAAGAAACTTGTCTGAAAGTTTAGCTCCATAACTAGGGTGAAATTTCTCCCTCAGTTGACAAAATTTGTCCCACTTATCAGGATTTTATCTAAAGTCCTGAGCTAGTTCATTTCATTCTCATCCTTAACCCTTCAAAGCCCTTGAGTGACCAAGACAGAATTTCTCCTTTCAATATCAATACAGTATCAAGAAGACAAGTGATGAGAATGGAGAAAAATATCAATTAAGGTTCATCAGTTGATCCAAGAGCAAATTCTGCCAATGAACAGCATAAGGATTGTATAACAGACAGTAAGGATAATTACTAATGCAATCTTGGGAATGAAATAGGTAATTAAAAGAAATTTGTTTTTGGGTAGTTAGAGAGATTCTTAGTCAAGCAGCATTGAAAAGAAGAGTATCATAGAATTCAAATGCCTTTCCTTAGATTTCCACCATCCAGTCATCCAGTTCTTGCATTTAGAGGAGCTCCAGCTAGTTTTCCAGTTGAAGAGCAGAATCGTCAAGCGCATGCTTTTTTGAAGTGGTCACAAAAGATCAACAGTGAAGTGGATGAGTATATACAGAACAATTTGCCAAAAGGGCCATTTGTTGGAATTCATCTGCGTAATGGAATTGACTGGGTATAGATGACTCATTTGTGATATATAAATTTAGTACTGTAATTCAATAGATCTTAAGGTAGCATTTTCTTTAAGAGATATTCTGATGACCTGGTCCATAGATATCCTCCTCTCAATTCCATCAACCTAAAATTTTTCCCATGTGAATTAAACTGTACAGTTAGTTTACGACTGTTACACATCATTATGTGTAATTGTGGACTGAAAACTTGTTCCCTTTTTTCTTATTTTTGCAACTCTTTTGTTTTTGGGTAATTTGGTATTAACTGAGTTGAGAATGTAAATTGGCCACCGCAAAGAGTTTCAAAGCTGGTTTCAAGGGTTAGACCCTTATCAGAGCAAATGAGGAATTGTGGGTTGTGTATATGTGTTTATGCAGAAAATAGAGCTACACTATTGGTGGGAATCTGGTGACTAGAAGACAAGAATAATTTAGTTTAATGAAAAGCGCTTGTTGATACTGTGAGATTAAGAGTACCAATTTGAAAGATAAATTTTTGTTCTAGAGTTTTGTAGCTTTCTGAACTACCTAGTTGTAGGAAAACACTGCAAACCACTTTTTGGTGCTTTGAATGATTAGGGAGATTATAGTGTCTAGCAACTGGTTTGGATGCATCCATGTAACCTTTGCAACATAGAAAGAAATTTAAAGTAAATTGTAAAGTGGTAATTGAAAGCAAATCTAACCTAACTTTATTTTTCTCTACAAGAGAAATGCTTGTGAGCATGTGGAAGGTATGCCTCAGTACATGGCATCACCACAGTGTCTGGGTTATTCACGATACAGAACTGTTACAAAAGAGCTCTGCTTTCCACCCAAACAAGATATCCTTAACCGCACTGAAGAGGCTGTGAGAAGATTTAAAGCCAAGGCTGTGTTTGTGGCCACTGATAGTGATCCAATGACAGATGAATTGAAGTTTAGACTTAAAGGACTGAATGTAAGTATATCTGTTTAGATGTTACAGTTACTGAAAAGGAGCTAATGTCATGATTTTTGTATCTTGCAATTTTTACCTAAGTTTGTTGCAAGGAGTCAGAATCATCTTCCTTAGAATGAGTAATAATCTGTCATGTAAATCTATTGAAATTGGGGAAAAACAGCATTTGCTCTGATGAAGGGCTTACTCTTGAAATGTCAGGTTTATAAACTCTTCACAATGGCCAATTTACAATCAACTTGGTTGGTGAAACAAAATTATCTAAGAAAAATGAAGGTCTGAGAGACTTTTCTTTTTTTAAGCTTTCCTTTTCACTGTGTTGCCAACCTCTCTCCTTCTGTTATCCAGCTGTTCTCTCCTTTTTTCTGTAATCCATAACAGGTTCAGATTTTCCACCTCAATCCTTGGTTGCCGCAGATAGATCTTGCTATTCTTGGTAGAGCTGACTTTTTCATTGGAAACTGCGTGTCTTCATTTTCCTCGTTTGTTAAACGTGAAAGAGACTCTAATGGAAAACCCTCTACATTCTGGGCTTTTGATGATTGATAAACTTGGTGTAACAGCATACCAGCACAAGAGTAGTATCATAGCAGAGGACAGAATACGGAAAATAGAGTTCAACAGTGATCTGAAGCCAGGCACCAAGGATTCAAGGCTTAAGTCTTGGAACACAATGATGGCGTGTGCCTCAAGAACACACCTGAAGCACAAAAACAGGTGACAATTCTGAAACATGAAAAGGTGCCATGGGGCACATAGATGTACTGTGTGTAGCTTTTTACCTTTATCTTCAAATTGCTACATAAGCAGAAGAGAGCCCATGGTTTAACTTGAGAAGGAATAGTTTAGATCTCAGAAGATTAACAATTGTATACTTGAAGTTGTCGGGTTATGTCTTAACCAAAACCAGGTGCTCATTTGAACTTAGACCTCCAATGCAGGAAAAAGTGCTTAAATAAGTTGCCATTCACTTCAATTTTGCATCTGATTAATTGAAAAGATGATGCAGACTAATCAGAGAGTTTAGAATGTGAAGATGATGTAATTTCAGTTAACCTTTGGCACCCCAATGAAAGTAAAGACACTGCTGGTGTTAATGAGATGTACTGAAAGTGCCAGAGGTTTGGAGCTTACGTGGGGATGTGTGCCAGATCCCAGCTGTAACACACTCATTAAAATAAAATGCATTCATTCAAACACTTTGACTACTTCCTTGCTTTTAGTGAGGATGGTTTTTGCTTGCCCATGATGCTCTTTCTTGATATTCAGTCACAGCATCTTCAAAAGATGGAAAGGCAGGGTTGACCCTTTAACACCCAAGATCTCATTAATAACGCCCTTTACCATCTGCCATACTTATGGTGTTAGGTTGGAGAATTTCATATTGCATCAACTAATGATACCCAAATTGATATTTTTATATTTCTTTATTCTCATTACTTGTCTGCTTGATATAGTATTGATACTGTTAGGAGAAATTCTGTCTCGATCATTCAGGGGGTAGTCAAGGGTTTAGGGAAGGGGGAGTCTAGGGGTGGGGTATGTGACCCTACTCTGCAATCAAATCATGACAATCCATAGTACACAAACAACCTGACATGCCATTATTGCCACCAAGATGCAGATAAAGGACCCCCTCTGATGTGTGTGGGAAAATCCTGCCTATCCTCAATACTGTCATGAAGAAAATCTAAAACTTTCTAATCATTCTAAATCACAGCCCAGTTTTTCAAAGGGTGGATACGGCTATCCAATGAATAATACCCTATTCAATGGATAACTGTTAGCTAAACCTACTGTGCTATCCACTGGATGGGAATCTACCTAATACATAGAGCTATTCACCCTCTAAACAACCAGAGCCAGATGTTTTAATTTGCCAAGAGGGCAATACCATGAAAGGTTTTGTCAGTTTAGCAGAAATTTGATGGACTCTCATAGCCTAGAAAGGGTTACTTGCTCTATGTTGGAGTGAAAAAAATCTGGGATATCCTTTGATGTTACCTTGTTTCATTACTTCTTCCTACTTATTTTGTTTTTATAATCTAATTTTCCTGTAATGTTGAAAACTACTATCCATTTCATTGGAAATTTGTTAGCCTCCCTTGATTT